CCTACGTCCGCTTGTTAAATCCGCCTGTTGGGTTTAGGGTTTAGGGTTTAGGGTTTAGGGATCCTCGTGTTGAGTGTTTGTGTGGTTTTGGATCTTGGAGTCTCGGGCTTGGTCCTAAAAAACCCTTCTGATCTGTACCTATAGTCTCCATTGTAGTTCCTTTTTGTGGATACCTTATAAATTCCTTATTATATAATTGGTTAAACCAACAAAAGGAACTACAATGGAGACTACAGGTTTTGTACAAGCCACAAAATGGAAAGCAGGGATAGGTTTCAAAGCGGAGTGTATATAGGGTGACAGGCCTTGATCAGAACTAAATTCACACAGTGCAAACAAGTCCTGGACCATGTTCGTTGGTTCTTTGGCATCCTCCTGTTTAGGGTTTAGGGTTGCGGGTTTTGAGGTCTGTGGCTGTCATCATGATCCTGTGGATGTCTCAAGGGGAGGCGCCACCCCCGTGAGCGTGGGAGGGCTGGAGGGGGTTGCCGTGATTGTTCAGGCCAGCAAGGTTAAGGGTTTAGGGTTTAGGGTCCCAAAGCCCCCATACCCTGAACCCTAAACCCCTTAGTCCCCAAACTCCCATGCCCTGAACCCCAGAAGTTTCATTAATATAGGGAAGGGTTTGTTTGGTTGAGGGGCCTGAGCTCTGAGAGTCGGGAGTCCAAAGCCCTAAGTCTCTCAAACGTCGCCTGGAGGCTCCGATTTGTTACGCCCAACTTGCTAGCCTCACCCAAAGGGTCCTAGGTGCTGTTATGGGGAATACTTCCCCAAATCATAATAGTAATTCCTAATATAGAAACCTTACATTCTACCATATAGGTACTTAGGACCCTTTGGGTCAGAGCATGTTCAATCCTTTCACTTTGGGCAAGGCTTGGATCTCCGCATTCCAGTGGTTCCTTAAGAACCCAAAACCCACTTTTTTGTAGGTTATTATCATACACCCCAATATGGGATTTATAGGGACCCTGCAAAAAAGTAGGTTTTGGGTTCTTAAGGTTTAACAAGGTTCCAACGCCACAACTGGAGAGGATGCCATAGAAGGGCAGTTGCCTACAGTATCTAGTCGACTGCAACCAGGGTGCAGCAGCCTGTTCTCTAGGGAACCATGCGGACCATGCTTCCTTCGATGGCTCATCGTTATTTCACGGCTTTGGCATTTCTTTCGGTCCTTTTCACATAAGGGTGCCGTACCATTTTGGGGACTTAAATAGGGACGCTAATCTAGAGAACTACCCATAGACAATGACAGACATGCACATACGGGCACTTTTCGGCCTGGGGGCCTTTAGCCATTTGGATCTTGAGCAACCTCTCCCTGGCCTTAAGGCGATTACCCTAAGGGTCCAAAGGACCCAATAATCGGGTACTTTGGTTACGGATAGTAGTAATCCAGCTCAATATCTGGGAGAGTATATGATTATTAGGTACTTGGACCCTTAGGGTTAGGCCTGGGGTACTCTTGCTACTACAGAGACTGTAGATTTCTCAGGTTCTGGGATTTTATGGACCAGGGTTTCTAGGGCAGAGGATTGCGGGTTCCGGAGAAAGTTGGTGTTAGCGTTAGCTACAACCGGGACTCCATCAAAGGGCTCAGGGTTCAAAGAATCCGCCGGTTTGATGGGTATATAGTAGTCAGTCGCCCTTCAACCACGAAATACAACCTATAGGCCCCAAAGTAGTTCTTTTTGTGGCTTATATTTTGGATCCTATTAGGTAATCCCAAAAAAGAACTACTATGGGGCCTATGATCCTATTAGGTAATCCCAAAAAGGAACTACTACGGGGCCTATGGGCAAAGCCAGGATGTGGCCCTGGCCTGCTTAGCGCCGATGGTGCTTGGCATGCTCTCGCCATCGGCCTATGCGATGCCCCTTTGCCTTAGGACAAGAGCCCTCCTTAAGAACCCAAAACCTACTTTTTTTGTAGGGTCCCTATAAATCCCATATTAGGGTTTATTATAAGAGCCTACAAAAAAGTGGGTTTTGGGATTCTTAAGGTAAACCCTAAACCTTAAACCCTAAAGAGTCCTTGCGGTGAGGGGGCCTTCAGTGCGGGCAGTTAGGCGCTTTGGGGAAAACTTCCGGTAAAAGGACGCCTTCCCGAACTACCTCGGCCCTTGAGGGTCCCCAAGGCTCAGGATTCGACTAGGCGAGATCAAAAACCCATCCGAAACCCGTTGGGTTCCGCAGATCTTCCTCCTCCATATCCTGCTATGAGCATTTGTGACAACAAGGGGCCCTAGAATGAAGGAGTCTTGGCCGTACGCTGCAGCAGTCCTTCGTCGTGCCTGATTGATGGCGTAGTCTTGTTGCAAACCGTCAACCGGAAGTTAAAGAAAGCCTTGCTTAAACGTGGATTGGCGCCGTGTTGAGCTTGTCTGAACATGTAGCCTGGCACCTAGTCCTGGAAGCTATTGGCTTCAACGCCCAGTTCAGCAAGTGCGGAGCCTCCATAAACTGTACACCTTGACATTCCCTCGGGGCCTGTTACGATTCGGAGTCGCGCTCCAAGACAGCTTTTGTACGTTACATCCTGCGCCATTTCGAAGCCTACAATAACCCTAAACCCTAAACCCTAAACTTAGTGTGTCTTCCGAAAGAAGGCGCTCCGCACAAGCAAACACTGTGGTTCGAGTCCACCCTGGGTCGTTTGATGCCAGGGTTTAGGGTTTAGGATTTAGGGTTTAGGGCAGCATCAACAAAAAAACACTTGCAAGAACGATTCTTGGGAATGCTGGCCTGCATTGACAGTCACATGCTTGTCGTGCCTACAACCGACATTGGTGTGCCTGACATCCGAACGGTTTGTCATATTAGTTGTAGAACTTAAAACATGCTGCAGCTTTAGCTAATTTCATTCGTGCACGTCCCTAAACCCTAAACCCTAAACCCCTAAACCCTAAACCCTAAACCCTAAACCGTTCTTTCAGAGCTGAAACCTTGACCCAACACCCCAAGCCCTCCATCCATGCCAGAACCCGACAGCCTCAACCCCGCAACTCCTGAACCCCAAATAACTTAGGGGCCTTAATAATTACCTGTACTATCTTAAGGGCTCCTGATTATAATTCTTAGTAGTTCGGCCCCCCAAAACCCTATTCTAATCATTAAGGCCCCTGCACTACCTAAACTTGAAGGTTAACGAGCCAGCTGATGTTGCATTGGCATCCGGCAGTCGGTGCTGCCACTTGCCACCAGTACCCGACACTCTCTGGGCTATTGCCTTATCAAGTCTTTTCGGTGATTCTTGAGGGGCTATAGGATATTATAGTAATACTATATTACCGTATATTCTGCAGGAGGTCGCTGAGCTAGCCCCACCCGGCAAGGTAAGGCTTTGCACTGCATTAGTGGGAGCTCCCTAGTTGGTTTCATGCTTCTCTTCAAAGGGTAAAGGTGACGGCCCAGTTTACAGATGTGCCCCGCTACCGCACCAGGTGCTTATTGCGTTTGATTCTGCCATCCTGCCATCGATATGTGTACTTATCATCATAATAAGTTACAAGATGGTCTGTTTGACACATGACGAGGTATGCTACAGCTGCTTTTGGTTTGGGTTCTTGGCGAAAGCTACTTCATAGCAAACCTAGGCATCAAGATACAGAGCCCCCGCACAGCCAGCCGTGAATATGTTCTTGGCACTCGTACTGACCGCAGCTTTTTCAGAATTGGCACTGCGATCAAGCATATGAACGATCGCAAAGAAGGGGCAATGTGTTCTTGACTAATTACACGGTTCCTATCCTTTTCCACAAGCCTGACCAAAAGGGCGCTGGCAACAATGATAACTATTGATTGATCCTGCTTCTGGTGACCCCAAAGCTCGAACACCAAAACCCGAACAAACTGCCTCAAAACCAGTTTGATCTTGGCAGCTGCTTCTCTGTGACGGTAGCAGTTAGTATCTGGATCCTGCAGTATATGTTCAGGGCTTCCTAGTTGGAATTTTTCTTATGCACTCCTTCAACAGCTCCGCTTGTTTGGAATCCAGCCATCTACTCTGACACGATCAAGAGTTCAGCATGGCAGATTTGAGTAGGTCAGGGATTTCGAATTTCAGTGATCAGCTCCTCGAAGTTGGAGGTCATGCTAGGGTAAATGTGAAGTAAGCAAAGCGATGGGATCTGTTAGGCCGTCATCGTTGCCTGAAGCCGGTAAGCACTGAACCTTGTCTCGAAAAGCAGCCTTTTTTAAAAGATACCAGAGCTAGCGAACTAGCGATCAAGGTTTATAGGTTGCGAAGTTCAACCCCCAGGGCTTATGAATCTGAGCTGGAGGTCATCAGCTGGATCCTGTCTGTTGGCGTGGGCAGCTGAGGGCAGTGTTAATGCGTTCAAGGGCCCCTAAATCCTAAACCTATTATAAACCCTAAGCCCAATACCTAGACCCTAAACCCTAAAAGCTTTGGAATTGTAGCGGGCTCAGCTTGAGCGGATGCTTGGGGTCAGGATACCTCTGAGAATTTGAGTACGATGGTCTCTGCAGGGTTTTGGGCTAGGGACTTCTTGGGTGTAGGGTCTATAGTAATTATATAGGGTTAGGGGTTTAGGGTTTAGGGTTTGGCAGCTTGGAGGCACTTCAGAGAGACCTCGTTCAAAAAGGATTTAGGGTTTAGGGTTTAGGGTTGCATGGGCCAGGTGTACAGAAGGGTTGTTTAGGGTCAAGGTTGTAGGCTTGGCACCTTGGGTCTGGTTTGGTTGAGCCTTCGATGTGGAGCATCGGAATCGACGCACATCTTACATGCAAAATCAGCCTCAAAGCGGAGTTTTATAGGATGGGGTTCGAATGTGTTGGGCTTTATATAAGCAGAGGCTTCACCCGTGCACCGGGAAGCTGAGCCCTTAGACCGGAACCTTGTTTGACTCGACGTTGGCATGGCCTCGAGGGATCTAGGATTGCTTTTTGTTGCAATGCAAAGTAAGTGGGACCCATGCAAAGGTTAAAGTGTAGCTAGAACATGCGCCCGTTGAACTTGCAAATCCCGGAGCTCAGGGCATGCGCGCCCTTCGCCACACTGCCCTACTCGTAGCTTGCTTCGCAAGCGCGTTTGCAGATGACTTCTGTAGCCAGAGTTTGGCACTCCCGGAGGCCCTAGACGTTTGGGCATCGCGGCGAGAAGACAAAGGCCCTCAGTTGCTGAGCGTGGTCTTGGACGCCTACCTCGAAGGATTTGGGCGGCGCGTGGGTGCAGGGGCGATAGGCTGGGCACATCTTTTCGAGCCCTTCCAGAGATGCCCTTTGCCTTTCATCGCGGCGGAAGTGGCCCATGGCCTCCAAAAGACACCGGGCTTCGCTCGCCAGGTACACCTGGCCCGGGCGAGGGAGCTGGCGACTTCCTGGCGCCACTGGAGCGACTGGAAAGAGGAAGAAAGTCTTTTGAGTGAGGAGCTTCAGAGAAGGAAGCTTGAGAGCTGCTCCCTCCTGAAACGCTGGCCCCACTTGGATTTCTTGGCAAATGCTTCCACCACCTTTTCATCCTTGTTGGGCTGCTTGCAGCCCCAAGGCCAGGATGTTCTACAGCGACCTCTCCTTTCATCCGTCGGCCACTCCTTCCCGGACTTTTGGAAAATGCTGGCAGATGAGTTGTTGATGACACCGACGCTCCAAATGCCTTGGGGCAATGGAGGAGCTCCCTACGTCCTGGCCAAGGTGCTGTGGCGGCTACGGCATGAAGATCAGGGAATTCGAGGGCGGCCCATGTACTTGGAGTTCGGAGTCTTCGAGGGCGCCAGCGTGAACTTCATAGCTCGCAAATTGCGCGACGTGGATCCAGGCGCACTGGTCTTCGGCTTCGACTCTTTCCGTGGCCTCCCAGAGGCTTGGCGAAGTAACTCGGATGTTCCGGGTGGTTTGACCTTTGCAAGTGGCAGCTTTGCTTTGGAGAAGGAACCGGAAGTTGAAGGCAACGTGAGGCTGGTGCGTGGCTGGTTCAACGAGACGCTGCCCGCTTTTCTGGCGGGCTTGGCCGCAGGCAGCGGCAACGGTGACCCCTGGGTGCGGCTGCTGCATGTGGACTGCGATCTCTACAGCTCAGCATTGGAGGTCCTTCGCGCACTGGCTCCCTTTCTGCGACCGAGAAGCATCCTAATTTTTGACGAGCTGGTGAATTTCCCGCATTTCGAGAGTCAGGAACTACGAGCGTTGTACGACTTCTTCCAGGACGAGCCGTGGAAGTTTCGGGTGGTTGCTGCACCCTGGTTCTTCTTGAGGTCGACGTCCGATCTTGCCGACTTGTTCCGCAAGGAAGGCTTGTCTGAGGTAAATCTCCACCAGGCAGTAGCCATTGAGCTGTCCAGCTGAATTTCGCAAAAGCATGCTTGGACTGGAACCGTTAAACCCCAAGCCCAAGCCCTATCATAAGCCTCAAAGCAAGTATTGAGGCTCAAACATTGCCTTGTGGAGATATCACAACTTAGGCTCTTACAGCGTTTCGGGGCACATGCAGTACCAGTTTTAGCGTAAGCAAGGGCAGGTGAAACAGCCGTGGATGCAGAGCTTCATCTTCTGGAGTTTCGGGTGACGTGGCCTAGGCTCCTAGAGCTTCAGACGGACCACTACAAGCCCTGCTGCCAAGAGCTTCAGGTCAACAAGTAAGATAGGTCCGAAAACAGAAGTACATCCACAACCCTCAATGCCTACATCCGAGTCCTAAGCACCGCAGCACCGAAATCTTAAAAGCCCTATTCAGGGTTTAGAGGTTCGTTTGGTTAGCATTCTGGCAGCATGGCTGACTCAATCATTTGTTTTGCTGTGCCTTTGTCCACATCATGCAGCCCTTGCAAGGCCTTCAACAGCGTATATACCCAAGAGCTTTTCCCACCCGGTGAAGCAGCTATCGAACCCGGTGAAGTCATGTGAAGTCCACATAGAGCATTCTGAAGCCATACTCTGCCATACTCTGAGAAAGCTTCTTCATAGACACCTTTCAATACACACACACACACCATGATTCGACCAAAGCCTTATTCCTAAACAGTTCCTAAACGATCCTAGACCATCCTGCGGTGCGACTAGGTCAGCTGGGGCGGGTGCTAAAGCCATCCAATAACTGCGTCTAAATCAATTGAACTCGACAGATAGACGGTGCGACACTGGACCATGCCTGAAAGCCCTGTCATGACGCGTTTGGCCGTTTATGCTGTAAAAAGCCGCGAGGCCATCACCTTTCCGACCCTGGCGCTCATGCGCCGGGGCGCGCCAAGGAACGAGAAGGAAGCCGAAGCCAAGGCTGAAACCCGGGGCCCTCAATTTTCAAGTGCAGGGTCGTTCCACATTGGGGCTTCAGGGATGCTTGCATGACTCTAATGGTGCTAAGATGATGTTTCAGTTTTGCGGATTGTGTTTTTGTTTTCTTTTTGTGGGGATGGGGTGGTTAGCGGTTCAAGGATGGGGCTTTCCGGCTATCAGGTTTTGGAGGTTGCTGGTTTAGGGGGGTGTAGCTTAGGTTTGCTGTTGGACAGAGCGATCATATAGTCACAAGCTGGAGTCTACCCTTTACACATGTATATACACACACGTATTTTGGCTTTGGCAGCATTCAGAGGTTGGTTCGCAGCTTAATTTAGGCGTGCAGTGGGCAGCCGTCACAGCCTTTGAAAGGCTTGGCCAAGTAAGAGCCCCAGAAAGCGGGCGGCGCGAGGACCTGTACGCTACCACCTGTTGTGATAATGTCCCACGCTCGCTTGAGGCTCTGAGGAAGGAGGGCTTCAGGGAGTGCGCTCACGGCTATGTTCCGAAGAAAGTCTCTGTCCGGGCTCCACATAGCTTCCAAAGGCCCGACCAGAATAACAACTGTCTCCGTCGTGGTCACGTGAGGCATGGACGCCCTCAGGCGTTCCCAATCGATGGCCTCCTCCTTGTTCAAGAAATCGTCGTAGGAGAACTTATCCTCCACCTCCGTCTGGGCATTCGGGGTGGACGAGTAGGCTCCAGATGTAAAGGCCCGCAGGGCGTTCTGCATGGCTTCGAGCTGGGGCTGGGACCAGTAGTCGTTGAGGTCTGCCGCGACGATTTCCCGCGTCTCCTGGTAGACGGTGTCCGCGATGTCGTGCTCCTCCTGTTCGTACAAAGGAAAACTTCCCAGGATCTTTCCAATGCTGTTTTGGATATCCGTCGTTTGGGAAGGGAGGTCGCAGACAAGCAGGGCCGCAGATAGCGCCCGGTGTGCCTCTTTTTGGGTTCGGTCCCACATCTCGCCCCCAGTGGCTGATACACCTTCCTGCACCTGTTGCGGGAGAGCAGGCGTGTACTGGTCGACGTCCCTCTGCTTCCATCTCTTACTGCCTACCCCAGGGCAGGGTTCTTCGCTGTGGTGCCCGAGTCCCCGTAGGACAGCCACACAGGCGGCAGAGTCACGCAGGTGGGTCATCAGCCGGTTGACCGACCAGTATTGGCGCCCGCAAGCTCGGCAGATTGTCCCTTCCACGTTGAGACGGTGCGAGGCTTTGCGGGCATGCACCCTGAAGAAGTGGACCGATAGCTGTGCCTTCTTGGCAAAGCTTTTGCCGCATGGGCGGCAGCACCACGTTCGCTGCGTCGGCATTCCAGGGAGCTTCCGAGCTGCTTGACGGTAAAGAGCCCAGAGGCCAAGCTTACGGAGATGGTAGCCGCAGTAGGTGGCGAAGTCGTGGTCCAGCTGCTTCTGGACTCGAGTCTTGACTCTCTTAGGAGAGCCACGTAGTAGTCGCCACCACTCCGGCCAATTGGCCCCGCATGGTCGCGGCCAGTGATCCGGGTCCCCAGCAGAGAGCCATTCCAGGTCGCGCTGCATTTGTTCGCACCATTCCATCTCCCACTGGAGCAATGCCCATGGGCCCGTAAGGGCCATGGAGCAGAGGAAGGTAAAACGCGTCTTGCGGGCAACCATGTGCAGGGGGAGGCTGTCAGTGATGGCATAGATCAGCTGCTGGGGCAGTTTGAAAAGGGCTTCTCCTTGAAGATGCGTAGCCAAAAGCCGCCGCAGCAGCCGCGCATATCCCAGCTCGAGCTTGGCCCACGCCGGGCCACGAATCAACCAGAGCGAGAGGTTGAAAAGGGTGGGTCGTATCGCTGCTTCGAAGACGGACACCCGGGCAGGGAGGTCGATCGTCTTGTTGCCATAGATCAGGACTTTGCCCTCATCCAGGGATGCTGAGGCGATGGCCAAGCGCCGCCGCGTCTCCGGGAGCATGGTGCCTCGATGATCCAAAACTCCTCCAAGGTGGGTGTATACCGGGGCGGTGGCAATGCTGACCTGGAGGTCGCTTAGGTAGATTTGAGGCTTGCCCTCCGGAAAGAATAGCCGTTTGGCAGCGGCCGATCCCTTGCCCGCAATCCTGAGCAACAAGGAGGTTTTGCCCGGTTTTAAATTCGGCACCATGCCCAACTCGTAGCACCGAGAGAGTACCAGCGAGGAAAGGCGCGATGCCTTCTTCAACAGCGCGACCGGGCTGGCATCTTTCAGGGGGAAGGCTGAGTCGTCGGCCCAGGTGCTGTCGTTGACCCATACTCGTTCAGTGCCTTCTCCTTGGGCAAAAATGCCGAGGGCGGGGTCGAAAAAGTGAGGGTCAATGAGCTCTTCCGCTTGGGCCATTTCTGCAACCCGGTACAGCACGCGGCTGTAGACGGCTGCGAAAATGCAGTCCGCCCAGCTCTCCCCCGGTCGTGAGCCGGCCCGCGTCATGCAGATGCGGGAGCCGTCACCGTAGTGGGAGGTGAACCAGGCCCTGTGGTGGTAGTCCTTTGCCGCGTGTCGCACCACCGGGTCCATGTCGAAGTCCGCCATGACGCCGCCTTCCGCGATTTCCTTGTAGAGCTCGTGGATATCCTCCGGGTCCAATTGGAAACGGCGGAAGACATGGGCGATGGTTTGGTCGTCGCATATCTTTCCCACGGCCATTTCCCTGGCCACCATATAATACGCAGCCTTGGTATCCAAGAAGAGGATGGCGGCGGATTGTTTCCGTCGGATGGTGCCTCTCAGGTGGGAGAGGATGGCCATCGCTGGGTAGGTGACCGGGGCCCCTCTCCGCGAGCCCATGTGGAGGGGGTGCAGCGAGTTCTCGATGTTGTGGGCGACCTTGTCCTTCATCAAACGGTGCAAGGATTTCCCTAGGAGGCTGCTAATGAACAGCGACCGGTGGGACTCTGCCAGAGCTGGGTTTCCGGCCCTTTTCCACGCAGAGTACAGGACCCCTCCCCTCCATTGAAGCGGCTGTTGGAGGGTCAGGACTGTTTTTGCCATCAGAGCGTGGCTGCTGCGAGCAAGGGCGGCGGGGGCCGCTTTTAGGAGTTCGCCGGGAATACCATCCAGGCCAGCCGACTTGTTGAAAGGGGCTCGGCGGTAGGCTTTTTCCAGCTCGTCGATGGAAGGGAGGCTTCCCATGGTCCATTCCAAGTCCTGGTCTTGTACAATCCTCGGGTGAGGCGTTTCCACCAGAGTGTTGACAGGGAGAATTTGGCCGCATTCCTGGGCTCCAAAGTGCTTTAGCCAAACCATGTCCCGGTCCTCTTTGCTTGTAGTCAGCCGATTTTGGTCGTCGAGCAGGAGGGGAAGCTGCTTCTGATATGGCTTGTGGGCTGTCTTGCCCACCCCTGCCCGACGGAGATTGCCCAGCATGTGGCTGGCGCCTGTCGTGGGCTCCGGGCCCTTGGCCATTTGCTTCAGAAAGTCGCTTTTAGCCGTTCTGATGCCGAGCTTGATGCGGTGGGTGGCAAGCTTGACGGCCAGGGCAACAATCCCGTGCAGAAGGACATCCTTCTTGGCTGCAGGGGGCATGACCAGAGGGTGTCTGCCCTGCCAGGCATCAAAGGCCGCTTTTATGGGCCGGTGCCATATTCGCCTCCTTGGTTTCGCCTCCTTCTTGAGGCGCAGCTTCTGGAGTCGGATGTCCCAGACCTCTGCCGGGATGTAGCTTGCCTGTGGGGCATTTGCTGGCCTTTGGAAATGCCGGTGCAGAATCCCAATCAGATGGTCCTGTAGATGCTGGCAATGGGCATCCGGGTGGGTGCTCCAGGGTGGAGGAGTGTACTTCTCCATCTCTTGGGCAACGAGCTGCCTGCCTGCAGTGCTGCGTAGCTTGGCCGTGTCGTATCGAGGCCTCCACAGCCTGGCACGGTGGCCTTGTGGTGCTTCCACGAGCCAACCATGTGTACCACGGAGAGTGCGTGGTCCTCGTTGGCGTTCATGGTGTCGAAGGTCTGGGAGGTCTCACTGCGAACTTGGTGGCACTGTGCACGGCCTCCCAGTAGGATATAATCAATCCTGTGTTCACCCCCCATAGGGTGGCGATATGTAGTCGTTGGTCCCCTGTGCAGGGAGT